CCAAACTGTACTAAGATGGGCCTAATATATACCCACAGAAAGATACTCATTGTTATCACCATTTTTTTCATCTATATTCAATTCTTAATTCCTGATGTTTATTAGGACAATTGAGGCTCAGATAACAAACTGTGCATAATCCAAATTTCACTTCTATTTATTTTTGGAATGCAGTTACCCATACCCACATTCAGAGACGCCTGCATTTTGTGCGACTCCAAACCTTCTCTCTTTGGGAGATGAATCCAATCACTATTACGAACTTCTTGCATTGTACTGTAGCATAACACAACGACGCCCTCAAGTCATAAGTAGACACTTAGCATTGTTTGCCCCTGCACTATATGGCCCTAGACTGCTCTGCCTTTTTGAATTATTATATGGGCATTTTATTGTTTTTCTTTCCCTTCCTTGCTGGCAAGCTGCCAGATGTCACTTCTTACTATTACCAGGTTGGAACTCCATTCTATGTTAAGGAAGAGAGAGCTCCTGAGAAACCGTAAATCTTGATTGGAGATATTGTGGCCTTTGAAGAGGAAATGAGATTACAGGGCATGTCTGGAGGGCTTCTTCCTAATTCCTCCAAAACACTCTGCCTTCATCACTCAGAGCTGCCTTGGAACAGTGGTCATCCCTCATTAGGGCAATACAGATACAACCATTCCATTTATGTCAGGCATAGATCAAACCAATTTACAAATATTCACCAAGCAACTATCCACTATGTAAAAAAAAAAAACTGGGAAGATATTGATCAAAACACCCATGTTTTCAGTGTCTTTAAAAATGACCATATGTTGAAATAATTCATTAAATTCACTTGATAGTCAGCTAGCATTTATTAAATGCCTATCGTATGCCAAGCACTTTGCTAAGCACTGTGAATACAAAGAAAGGCAAAAAAAAGTCCTTCTTCTCAAGAAGCTCACATGAACAGGCATATATTAAGCACCTACTGTCTGTCAGGCACTGTGCTGGGTACTGGAGATACAAATACAAAAGCGAAACGATTCTTGCCCTTAAAGAGCTTACATTCTACTCAAATACATATTCACAGGTAAATACATACAAGATGTGCACAAAATACACAGATTTGGAGATTGGGGGAAATGTACTAACAGTTGGGAAAATCAGGAATGGCCTCTTAAGGGTGATGGCACCTCAGCTGAGCCTTGAAGGGAGCTAGAAATTCTAAGCATCAGAGTAGAGGAGGGAATGTATTCCAGGCCTGGGCACAGAGGAAAGAATGTTATGTATAGAGAAGATGGCAGGCGGGCCACTTTGGTTTCATTGAAGAGTGAATAAGAGAGACTATTATGTAATCAGTCCAGGAAGACAGTCTGGAGCCAAATTGTGAAGGGTTTGGAATGCCAAATGCCAAAACATGTTCATACTTTATCTTAAAGGCAGGATAACTGAAGGGGCCTGAGGAGACCCGGAAGCTTCTTGAGCAGGGAAGCAAAATCCTCATTCTTGTGATTTAGATCAATTTGGTGGTTATGTGGAAGAGGAATTGGAGACAAGGGAGACTGGAGGTGAGACGACCCATTAGGAAATTAGGACAATTGTCCAAATGAGAGGAGTTACAGGCCTGGACTGGCATGGTCACTATAAACCATGAAATAAACTGGAGTATACAATCTAAAAGAAAACAAAAATTCTGAGATAGAAATGTTTGCTCTCATTAACTTTACTTGTCTAACGTTCTGTGTTCTCAATACTGGTTTTATGGTACTTGTCTTGGACCTTCATCATTTCTGTTCCTTTGCTAGTCCAACATACAATCAGCTACCTGTGTTATTGTGTCATTTCAGTCATGTCTGACTCCATTTGGGGTTTTCCTGGCAAAGTTACTAACTAGAGTGGTTTGCCATTTCCTTCTCCAGCTCATTTTACAGCTGAGGAAACTGAAGCAAACAGGGTTAAATGACTTGCCCAGGGTCATACAGCTAGTAAGTATCTGAAGCCACATTTGAACTCATGTCTTCCTGAGTCCAGACTTGGAACTCTATCCACTGTGCCATCTAGCTGTCTGATCAGTTACTCTCAGTCATTAATACTTCTGGCTACTCGCTACAAGTGATATTTTCACTTCTGAGGATTCTTAGTCAGTCTCTCTCTTTCTCTCTCCCTCTCTATCTCTCTCTCTCCTTCTTTATAAAGCATTTGGACTTTTCTTCCCCTCTTCCCGCCTCCCCCCCTTTGTCTTTTTTCTCTTTTCCTCTGATCAGCCTTTTGAAAGAGATGGGCAATGTCATTGTGCCTGCTCCATGCTGCTCCTAATTTCCTCACTCAGGGTCACTCTGTGCTAGTGAATAATATCACCCTTCTAAACATTTTGAAACATGAAGTATAAAACAATTCAGATTTTCAGGATGGCAGTTTTCCTACTTAGAGAAGCTGCATGAAGGAGACTGCCATCCTGGAGGGTGGCACCCAAAGCAAACTGCAGACCTGAAGCTCCTTGTCACTCAACAGCTTGTCTCCATAGAGACTTGACTTCATAAGCACCAGCCTTTCCACTCATTTTGTTCTGGAATCATCAGTTGTAGTTTTTCCTGTCTTTCTGTCCTATTTGACTTGGTCTGTTCCTTTTGGAATTTCATTACAAACAACTCAGTTCATGCTCACTTATACGCCCACCTCCTCCACTGGATCTGCCTTTTCCAGCTCCCTTCTCAGCTCCCATTCCCTGTACCATGATATCATAAAACAAATGCTTAGCAGGAACTCTCACATAGCCCCCAGTCATTAGCCCTACATCTCCCCTTTGTTTGACATAAGCAAAATCATACAGGTTTTTTCATAATGAATAAGTGAGTAAATTGAAATACAGCAACAGCCTGAATACCTGTATGCCAAATGCATGAGTTCTGCTTGAGAAGGGGAATGTGGGATGAGAAACAGTTAAGTAAAAGGAAGGAGAGCTATATTTTTGTAAGGGTTGATGTGAGGCTGCCAGGACGCAGTTAATAAAATGATGGTGGTAGGAGACAGGAGGGTAGCACTGGAGAGAAGTAAGAGACACTTAATGGGAAGGTGAGGGGTGCCAAAGACAAATTTTCCCTCCTTAAAATTTGGCCTGAAGTCTGCCCTAATAAGTAGATAGATAGACAGACAGACAGACAGACAGACAGATAGATAGATAGATAGATAGATAGATAGATAGATAGATGATAGAGATATGTAGTGTATGTAGTATATACATAGATCATACTATGTATTTATGTATCAAACTATATTTATATATCATACTATATATTTTAATATGTATCATTTATATATATGCATATATATCCACATATATACATATACATATATATACATACATACATATATATATATACATATATATGTGTGTGTGTATATGTGTATATATATATATATATATATATATATATATATATGAAAAAGTTTCCTTGAGGTCAAGATACTTCACACATGCACAGCCTGTATCTTTTGGCCCATCCTGCAAAATACTTAGCTAATCCAGAGGACAGAAGAGAAAAGCTAGCAAAATCAGAGAATATTTCCAGCTACTTCAGGGATCTATCCAACAAGCAGATAAAAAGAAGTTTAAACGACTTGAGACTCCATGGTTGTGTAGGAGAGATTGTTTGAATGCTTTGTGCATAATGCATTCCAAAGTTCCTAGAGCCTGTCGGGTTTACAGGAATTTCCAGTGCTCTGGCAGCCTTCACAGTTTATTCTTTTTCATTAAGTTCATTTCACATATTGTATTGTGTATCTTGTAAATCATCCCCTTCCTTTTCCAGCACAGTGGGAAGTTTAGGGAGGAGTTGCACATAAATCTGCTGTCATGTTTGTACATCCACATCAGGGTCTTTGTGGCAGTTCTCATTGGCAAAGGGTCACTTCAGCCTCTTTGCCTCCCTCTCTCATCCCAGCCTTGTTGTAAAGTCAGAATTGCTCTTGACTTCAAAGAGAACAAAGCCAACCTGGTAATGGTGCCTCCTTGGAAGTCAAAATCAATGCTGAATCACTATAGGGAAATGAAAACATTACAAGAGTCCTGAAGCCTCACCTATCTACTTATCTGAAGCAACATTTTGCAGGTGACCCCAGAAGACAATAGCATGATGCTCAATGAGAGGGAAGAAGGATGTAAGACATTATCCATGATAATTTGCTTGGTAGACATGGCCTAAAAGACAGCTTGAAGAACATATGTGATTGTAAATAAAGGAGGGTCATGTGGCCAGTTAGGGCTAACAGATGGAAAATCCAGTTGCTGCTACGCTGGTCCTTATGTGGAGGTTAGCCTCTGACATGTTGGGCAGATCCTTGGTGAATGATGAGAGGGTAGATGGTAAAACAAGATTAAAAACTGGAGGATTCGGGTGAGTTGTTACCTGCAGTGGTAGAATCATGAGATCACATAGAGGAACCTGAGAGATCACCTCCCTTTTATTTTGCAAATTTAATAACTTCCAATATACATTCCTTATGTAATTGTGAAGAGAACTCTGCTAGGGTAAAGCTATAGCATGTTATAGTGGAGGTGGGGAGGGAAGTGTTGCAGACCTGGGATCTTATCAATGTGGGAGAGTCCTTTCATCAACGTTAGTTGGCAATTCATATGTAACACTTTCTGGAGAGTATATGGGGTGTTCAGGGAGGACTAGAACCTCTCTTGTGAGGGTTGCCAAGTCCTTTTCAGGGCTGCTCATCCACCTTTGGTCTGGCACTCAGCTCTCATCTGTGGCTTCAGGAAGCTATAGCATGCACAGTGGCCACACTCTGGTAAACCTTCCTGAAAGATGGGCTAAACAAGGTTGAGGGTAAATGATGGACCGCAAACCTATCAGTGAACTAGGGGGTTGTCTACTCCCAAGCACATGAAGACTTCCCCCAGGCAATTAGGAACAAATTGTTCCAATGTCCATGAAGATGACTGAAGCAAGCTTTGTGGAATGCTTAGAGCTTGTTCAAACACTGAAGATGCCAAGGTTATCCACTGCATCCTGGGCCATCGCCAATTGTCTTGACTTTTGTCTTGCTGTTGGACTTCAATGACTCTGGAAGAGAAAGTGAGGTTGACAATTTTGTGCAACTCTGCCTCATTTAAATCCAATTTACACACAAATCAAGACATCATCCAGTAATGTCATTGGTCCCCTTCCAAAATGAAAGACAAATAACAACAAATGTGCTATACACACACACACACACACATAAGTATGTGTGACTATATCTATTGTGTACATATATATATATACATTTACCTATATACACATATATGTACACATGCATATGTGTGTGTATATATAAAAACAATATCATGAGCAAATCACTTAATTATTCTAACCCTAAATTTCTTCACCTACAAAATGAAAATGGTAATAACTGTTACTACTTCCCAGGTTTACAGGGTCATAATGAGAATTAGAGAGAGAGAGAGAGAGAGAGAGAGAGATACATAGATACATAGATACATAGACATATGTATATAAATAATTTTCATATACATTACATGCATATGTACATATATAATATGTCATATATACACAGGTGCCCTGGATCACACTGCCAAAAAGGCACACAGCAGGGATAATAGCACTTTCTTCTCCACAAAAATAGGCAATGAGGACCAGAGTGTACACGAAGCTATCTTTTTTCCTGTTTTTTTAAAGCACTGATTTCAGCAACAGGTATATCAAGTTTACCAATGACGTTTCATTGTGGCGATCCTGGGTATGGCCTGTAGAATATAAGTTCCTTAAGAATAAAGAGCATTTTTAATTTTTGTCTTAGGATAATTAGTGCTTAGCACAATGCCTGGCATGTAGTAGGTGCTTAATAAATGGTTGTTGATTGAATTGAATAGAATCAGTTCTAAAAGGCCATGGCAACAAAGCACAAGCCAGTCCTGCCAAGTCAAGTCAACAATCAAGTATTCAGCACCAATTACTTGCCAGACAATGTGTTAAGCACTAGGGATACAAAGAAAGACAAATCAGTCCCTGCCCTCCAGGAACCTGTTGTCTAAAGGGAAGACAAAATGCAAATAACTATATCCAGTCAAGATCTATATAGGATAAAAGCAGAAAATCTCAGAGAGGAGGTTCTAAGGTTAAGGAGAACTGGGAAAGACTTCAACCCAACTCTTGTATGTGCCTTGTTATTTACATATTGTCTCCCCCATTAGATTGTGAAATGCTTAAGGACAAGGACTGTTTTTGCCCTTCTCCATTTTCTCTGGAGGTACTGTAGTGCCTGGAGCGAAGAAAGTGCTTAATAAATACTTATCGACTGATTGTTATCTGAGAATTAGTCTAGCTAATGGCACAAGGTTCATCATCAGAAAGTCGGCTAAAAGGCAGTTGGGCATTTCGGTTACTGCAATTCATAAGAATCATCTGGAAAATTGTGGAGTGGTTGCAATTTGCACCCATCCAGGAAATGCCCACACCTGACCCAAATCACAGATTTTGAAGTTTTGAAATGAAGATATAAACAACATTTCTTTAAGTAACAGAGTTAACAAATTCAGTCCCTCATCCCCATTGTTCAGGGTCAAAGATCTGCCTAGCTAGAATCTGAAACCAAGCATCCTTGATGGCCATCTGCATGCTGAAATGTCAGAAAACCAAATACACCCCACCACCACCACCCAAGCTAAATTGTCATGGTCTTATATGGACAGCATATGTGGCTCCTTGTAAGAAAAACAGATGAGTCCCCTTGTAGATAGTCACACAGAGAAATAGAATGCCCATCACATTCCCAAGCAATGAAAATTGTCTGGGAGAAATACATGATGACAAGGTCGGCAGCCAGCATACAAATTTCACACAGCTTTGATAACAAAGGCTAATGATGTGGCTTTCTGTCAATTACTGCAGAAATATCTAGCTCCACAGGACTGTGGGAAGACCTATATAGCTCTGAGTTCTGATATTAGAGGACATCTGGGTCTGTGCATCCCAAATGCTTTTTTTTTTCTCTTCTCTCTCTCAATCTGAATCTTCCATTTATTACCAATTGGGGTTAACTGGAAGGAAATTCATTTGTATCTATTACTCCTTCTGGTAAATTACACAGGCAGAATAGCTCTCAAGCTAGGCCAGAGTCCTAATATAGAGAGCTACTAGTTGGGATTTTTCAGAACTCTATCTCTGAAAGCAAAAGAAATGTGCATAGCTACCTGTCTCCAGCAAAGATTCAGATAATAGCAGGGTACTGAGAAATAGCACTGGCCTGGCATTTAGGAGATCTTAGTTCTAGCTGCAGGTCAATCACTAATCAACTGTGTGACCTTGTACAAATTGTTTCTCTGAGAATCACTTTCGTTGCCTTTAAAACAAGGTGGTTGGACTACATCAGGAGTTCTTAACCTGTGGTCCATGGATTTGTTTATATACATACATACGCATATACACACATACATGCAGTATGTATATGTATGTGTATGTGTAATACATATACATACATATGTGTACATATGTACATATACGCATATACATATATACACGTGCATGTATGTATTTGTGTGTATGCATATGTTTTATATCATGTACTTATATGATATATTAAAATACATGTTAATAATTGTGTCAATATAGTTTCCTTTGTAATCCTATATATTTTATTTTATGCCTTAATAAACATTGTTCTGAGAAGAGTCGATAATCGATAGGCTTCACCAGAATGCTACCAAAGAGGTTTGTGACACATAGAAGAGGTTAAGAACCTCCGGGCGAGAAGGTCTTTGAGCTATCTTGCAGTTCTAGTGCTCTGGAACATTCTATAGTGAGTCTTTTAAAGACAACAAGCAACTACCCAACCCTGGTACTATACTAGCCTTCAAATAGTCATTATTATAATTGGGGAAGCGGGCTGGTACAATAGCCTGAATTCTGTTAGGCTTTTAATGCTGCTATTCTTCAGAGGCAGTATGCAGTAGGGGAAGGAGGTGCACAGTAGATGGACATGGTCTGATTCAAAATACAGGGTGTCAGAGGCAGCTAGGTGGCGCAGTGGACAGAGTACCAGCTCTGGAGTTAGGAGGACCTGAGTTCAAATGTGGCCTCATTTACTAGCTGTGTGACCCTGGGCAAGTCACTTAATCCAAACTGCCTAAAATAAATAAATGAATGAATGAATGAATGAATGAGTGAATAGATAGATATATAGATGAATGAATGAATGAATGAATGGATAAATAAGTAGAGAGATAGGCAGATGAATGAATGAATGAATGAATGAATGAATGAATGAATTTTAAAAAATAAATAAATACAGGATGTCTCAAAACCTTTACTGTAGTTTTAAGGTATTAAATCTTAATGCTGCAGTAAGACTTTTGGGATACCCTGTATTTAAACATCTGTGTAATATGAACAATGTTATATTCATATTCCAATGGGAAGAGCATTGCCAGAAGACCTTGTTTTAGATACACAGAGACTAAAATATTTATAGCAGCACTCTCTGTGGCAGTAAAAAACTGAAAACAAAGTAGGTACCCATAGACTGGAGGAATGGCACACTGAGGCAGTGCGACACGAATACAAAGAATTCAGAGAAGCACGGAAGAAGCAGAGGAAGACTTTGATGAACTGAAGTTGGGTGAAGTAAAGAAAACCAGGAAGATGATCTGTGCAATGACTACAATATTTTAAATGGAAAGAACAATAAAACAAAAATGCACTTTTTGCAATTACATTGATCAAGCATGACCCTGGGGGGAGATGGAGCTACAAATCTAACGATAATTTTTAAGGTATTCAAATCATTTGATTGTAGACACACACCCTTAGATGTATATATGCACATATAGATGTGTATATGTATACATATGGGTATGTATGTGGAGAGAGAGACAGAGAAAGAGAGAGAGATGCTTACACCAACCTTGCAAAGTAGGTACTATAGGTATTATTGGTCCCTTTTTATAGATCACGCAAGTGACTCGTCATGGTCAAGAACAGATGATTTGTAATCTGTAGAGTCTTCAATACATCTAGCAATAAATAAGCATTTATTAAACAGCTATTATGTCCCACAAATGGGGGGGAAAAAAAAGAAAGAAGACAAAAGTAAAGACAAAATTGAAACAAGCCTTGCCCTCAAGGAACTTACACTCTAACTGGGAAGACAACATATACACCAATGTAGATATCTACAAAGTAAACAACAAAATACATACAAAGTGATTTCTGGGAAGAGGACTCTAACTTCCAGGAGATCTGGAAAACTCATGTAGAAGGTTATGCTTAAACTGATTCTCACAGGATATTAGAGATTCTAAAAGGCAAAGGGGAAGAAAGGATTCATTTCAGGCCTGGGGAACAGTCAGTACAAAGACATCAAAATGGGAAATTGAATGTTATCATGAAGAACAATAAGAAGGCCAATTTGACTGAACCATAGAGAATAAGAAGGGCAGTAACAGATGATAGCCTGGAGTTTACATTTGAATCTCGACGTAGTGGGGATCCACTGGAATTTGTGAATAGGAGAGTGAAATGAGCAGAGCTGCACTTTAAGAAAATCAGTTGGGTAGGGATGGTAGAAAAAGGGAGATTCTTGAGGTAAGGAGGCCAAATAGGCTATTGCAAGAATCCAAGAGGAAAGTGATGAAAGCTTGAATTAGGTTGGCGATTGTACTATACATGAAAGATGTTGTTAAGATAGAACCAATAAAATTTGAAAACTGAGGGGTGAGTGAAAGTGATGAGTTGAGGATGACAAGGAGTTTGTGAGCCATGGTGACTAGAAAGATGGTAGCATTGACAACAATGGGGAAGCTTGAAAGAAGATTGGAAGGGAAAAGAATTAGTTTAATTTCCTTTGACATATTGAATTTGAGAAAACTTTGGGATATTTAGAAAGAAAAGTCCATTAGGAAGTGGGCAATATGTGACTGGAAAGAGATGTAGGGGTCTTTGGCAAAGAGATGATAATTAAGTCCATGGCAGCTAATGAGGTAATCAAATGAGACAGTATAGAGAGAAAAGCAAAGAGGACCCAGCACAGAGCCCGGAGGTATTTTCATAGTTATGGGGAATGCTGT